ATCATTTTTGCTTGCTCTATGACAGTGATGCATTTTATACTTTTATCCAGTGTCTGTCTAATTTGTTGCTTCCTTATGTAGCAGTCATAGCCACCCTGTGTTATATTATATATCATATCATATATTGTAAAATGAAAATGATCACCAGCGCCCTCTAGTGCCGAATGTCACATTGCCAATTATTGACTCGGGTGGGAATTTAATTTTGTTAATTAAAGTTCCCTTCCTAATTACTAAAATTGATAATTTAATTGTGTTCCCTTGTCAATTCCTGTACATTAACTGACAGTTTAATTTCATCTGTATAATTCCTATCATGTCTATTTCTTTGTTCCCTCCTTTTGTCCCTCCCTGACCTACTTTGTTTGATGCATGCCAGATTACCCTTGCAATTTGTTCTTTCGTCAGTTTTGTTTCCGTTTTTTTGTTTTGTTAAGCTTCTTTAACAAATTTGTATATGCTTGTGTGTGGACTTTTTCTTTCTTTTTTAAATTCTCGAATTTTACTTCAAAAGTAAAACAAAAATCGACCGTTATTTATGCTCCTAAACTAATAATCTAAATTGCAATTGTTATTGTTTTTATAATTCGAAACAGTTAAATGCGAACATTTTGCAACTTTTGAAAGTACTTCATTCACAAACGTGTAGACTATTTCAGTGTTTTCATAATTCATTCATACACCTGGAGACGTAAATCGAGCCGAAAGTTTGAATATATGTCATCAATTTCCATTCATGCAGGCAGAAGAATGGTGACATACTTTAATTTTTTATACCTAGGGGTATAGGATTGTAAATTACTGAATACTTGTGTATAGACGGTAAGTGATCTGACGTATACAGGGTACCACTCCTAAGTTGACCGCTCAGTGACCTGAATGATTTGTTTGAAAACTTGTATTATATCATTTGGTTGTAGAATTGTCATTTAAATACCTTCATGTGTGTAATTTACGAGAGGCGTACCTTACACGCAGATTGTCGGGTATAAATAGCCGATTAAGAACGCTCGCAGGCATTCAACCTATTAAATAAAAGTGAAAATTTATTTCAATTTTTTTCCCAAAAGTGTTACAAAATTATTAAGGCTTTAATCCACTCTCACATAGCATGTGGAAAACAACTTTTAAAACAAATTTGAGACATTTTCTTTTGACAGTTTCACCATAATGGTAACCAAATACTTTCAGTGACATTTGTTATTATTTAGGTAAATAGTGATTCTTAGAAACCATCAATACCATGATTTTTGTCTAGCATGTGCAAAGCGCGCATAGCAAGTCTTCGTGGTTAGTGTGTGTGTGTGTGTGTATGTATGTGTGTGTGATATCAACGTTGTGACGAATTTCATTTTACTTTACACCTACCAAATGATGACAGACCTACCAACCTACTACTTTTAATAGTCCCCATTAAACAAAGTCTGTCCACTGGTACATACATTGTACATTATAGGTTACATGACATTTGTTTCGTGATCGAATCAAAGATGGCCGACTGGCAGCCATTTTGTTTTTGAAAATGTGGTATCTTATGCATGCTTTGTCAGTTTTTATTCAAATTTGGTACATACATTATACATGTTAGGATACATGTCTATGATGATTCATTTCGCGATCGGATCAAAGATGGCCGACTGGCAGCCATTTTGTTTTTTGAAAAATCTTATGCATGCTTTGCCAGTTTTTTTTTTCAAATTTGGTACATACATTGTACATTTTAGATTACATGTGCATGACAATTTGTTTTACAATCAGATTAAAGATGGCTGACTGGCGGCCATCTTACTTTTTGACTATACCTCCAAGTTTTTGGAACTATTTTCATTCATATTTTGCACATACATCATATACATGTTCACGTCAGTTTGTTCCATAATCAGATCAAATCTGGCCAACTGACATTCATCTTGGTTTTTTGAAAATGTGGTATCTGGAACAGGATTTGTCAGTTTTCTTTCAAATTTGATACAAACATTATACATGTTGATTTGTTCTTGTTTGAATCCAAAATGACCAACTGGCAGCAATCTTGTTGTATTTTCAAAATACATACATTTTATACATGTTATGATACATTCCATGGCAATCAGATCAAAGATGGTTGACTGCCTGCAATCTTTATGACATACTACAATATTTTTGTACATGAGCCATACAAAGGAAATTCATTATGAATAGCATATATCCTGCTTAATTGTTGATCATTTATTTCTATTATGGAAGAGTCGCTTAATACATTCAATACCTGTTGATACTAGACCAGTCAATTATTCACTCTAAATTTTTAACTATGCTTTTGGTACATATTACTTTACTTTTGTTATGAATAATATTACTGTAAAATCTGTATTAAAAACCGCGGCTTCTATTAAAATGGTACAATGCAACAGAGGGGATGCGGCTTCTAATAGAGCATCTACACATATGAGAAATGATGAATTTTTGGTTCTCAATTATTGAAAAAAAATGGGTGCGACTTCTATTAGGGATGCGGCTTCTAATACAGATTTTACGGTACCCCTAATTCCAACAATGACTTGTTTAATTGAACTTGAATTAAAACTCAATTCTATGTTGAATTGCATTGTAATTGACTTTTAATAATTAAACTCCAATTGAAACGCAACCCTATTTAGAACGCATTGAGTTCATATGGCAACTATATTAAAAGTTAATCCAGTGTGTGTTGTTACAACAACGGTAAGACGTGTATTTTGTCCAAATGAGTTGCATATTAATTAATTTCTACAACACTTTTACAATGATGAAACAGAAATTATCACAAAAGATACAAACATTGTAGTACACTATCATTTACATACAGAGTTATTAGGGTATATAGGAAAACAGTCAAAAGTCAAGTGATTTTTCTTCCTTGTTGAATGTGTTCTATTGTAGTCAAACTCTTGATAAAAAGCACCTCCCGCCATGATGCAACAACACCCACTGACCTGATAGGTCAAGTTTGTTATTAACTAATCAGAATGCTGTGTGTTACTGACAAGATTTCTGAATATTGATGATGGCATTTTTTTTTAATGCAATACAAAGGTGAATTATTTCTTGGAACCGGTTCCAATGAAAAAAAGGCAGGATTCATGTTAAATTCTAGTTTACCCGTTCACAACCGCATTCATGATGAGCAGTACCAGTGTAATTATTTGGAAAAGTAAAAGGATGTTTAATGACCAGGTTTCATGATTTGGCGGTTTAATTTTGGATGTTTTGGAAGGGGTAGTTAGTCAAACATGACCCTCAAAAAGAAATCCCCTCCAAGTCAAGCATGGGCACTAAGACTGGTGACATACAGTAGTAAATATGTGTGTGTGTGTACTTGGATTGCTAAATGTTGCGAGGACAAAAATACAGATATATATCTACTTCCGAGGACATACAAACATAATTTATATTAATAGTTAATTCGATTATTAATACGTTTTGCGTAGCTTAGGTTAGTAT